GCTCAGCAGATGAAGAATCATATACAGTAAGTGCTGTTTCTTGTCAATTCCATTGCAATTCTACTGCAGTTTTATCTGACCCTATGATTGAAATTGTTCGTAAACTACCTATGTACATTATTGGTGGTAAAGGAGTGCTTTAGGCGTTATCTAGGAAACATTCATTTGATTTTTTTTCAAAGAGAAACTTCCATTTACATTTTCATATGCTTCATTTTACAATGTCTATTTTTTAAAACCTAGTGCATGCCAAGAGGTTTCATCCATTCTATAACCCCTCCTCGGTATCAACAGGAGCGTGCCACAAAAGAAAGGGAAGACAACCAAGTGCAAGAAATAAAAACCAATGATGAAGGACAAGAAGACATCTCATTGTTCTATTCAGACATTATGCCACTCCTTGTAAGACAACCAAGTGCTAGAAATAAAAACCAATTATTATCGCTTTTTATTCTTGATCTCTTTTTTGATAGGTTTTAATATACTAGCTTTTTACTCTCTCTGTCCTATATTAAGGTTCCCATTTGAATATGGCACAAAGTTTAAGATATTTTTTTAATGACAAGGGTGGGGTATGCTCTGATATGTGGTGGTCCATGTGACTTAAATTTAAATGAAGTAGTGCATGATATAAGACTAAGACAATATTTTCCTTTTTAAGACATGGGAAGTTTTTTTTTTGGTTGGCCCAAATAAGGAAGTGAGAAATTTATTTTGGAACCAACAAATATATAACAAGATTAAACTTGGTGTGATAAATGGTACTCCTATTATATGTTGTTTGATTTTTTTAGGTTGTTATTTTATAAAATGTATTGACAGGTTGATGAGGAGCCAAGTGTTGGTGAAGATGCATTTGTGTGGCTAGCAACGCTTATACCGGTGGCAGCGGATGTCGTGAACGCACGCTTTACTTTCGAGACTCTTACAGCTTCTTCTGGCAGTACACTCCACTATCCTGCCTACAATGTGTTCTTGAAACAGATTGACAAGTAATTATTATTGTGAAAACTGTACTGCTTATTTGACTCCAAATAAATTGAGGCTCCGTTTGGTACACGGAATTCAAACTATGGAATTGGAATTAGAGACAATAATTTCAATCCCGCTGTTTGGTAGTATAAAAATATGTAGATTTGGAATTGGTACTGCCAAAAATGAATTGAAATTGGAGAATTCAATTCCATCCAAATCAATTCCATAAAATTTCAACTCCCAGTACAATTCCAATTCCATCAATTCCGTGTACCAAACAGAACCTGAAAGTATTGTTTTTTGTGTACAATAACTACATCATATTTCTCGTGTTTCCTTAAGATGCTTAAGGCATTTGCAGAAGCAAGCCAAACCAACCGGCATAGAACTCGCGGATAATGAGTTTATACTGCACGTGGAAGGAACCGCGACATCGCAGAGAGTTGTGCGCCATATTGGAGGAACAAGTTGGCCTGGTATGCCGCCCGCCTTTGATCTTCTCTATTATTAATGTAATTTTACTCTCATTTCCATTGTAAGGACAATCATTTTCAAGAAGGTTACACAAGACCACGCACACATTTTCTAGGTAGGTTGACATTGACAAACTATGCTCTCTACTTTGAGGCTTCTGGAATCATTTCATACGAAGATGCTCTTAGGCTTGACCTCTCCAAGGACAATGACCAGAGTGTAAACCCAGTCGCGACTGGTCCATGGGGTGCTCCTCTCTTTGACAAAGCCATAGTGTACCAATCTTCCCAACTGTAAGTACGTCCTTTTTCACGCAAATGTACGCGTACTACTGCAATTTAAGTCCTGGCTTTTTCGCTGCAATTTAATTAAAATTGATAAAGGGCATGACCTAAAAGTTTTGATGAGACATTAGAGATCTAATGTATATAATCATTCAAAATCATGAAATCAAATTCAAGTCAGTAATGAAATATGCATATATGGATTGGGTGTTTGGAATATGAGTGCATGCCCATGTATTTGGATAACCTGCATGCAGGCAAGAAGGTGTTGTCCTAGAATTTCCAGAAATAACAAGCTCCACAAGACGTGAACACTGGCTTGCGCTTGTGAAAGAAATTATGTTGCTTCACAAGTTCTTGATGAATTTCGAGGTCCAATCCCAAGTAGAATCATGGGAAATGCATGCCAGAATAATATTAGGAATAGTAAGGCTTCATGCTGCTAGGGAAATGCTAAGAATTTCACCTCCCCTCCCCAAAGGCTTCTTAATCTTCAACTTGCTAGATGAGCTACCCAAAGGTGATTATGTCCTTAAAGAGCTTGCAGGGAGTTTGAAGATGGCCAATATTTATCATCCATGCAGTGCAAGCTCAATCTTGAAGACTGTTAATGTCTCCCAACCATCAACATCCTCTACAGAGACAGAGATGATAATGGATGATGTCAAGGGAAGCACCAGCCCCTTATTAGCTCTGCCTGAAAATGTTTCATCCCTGGAGGATGCAATTTTTCAAGCAAGGGAGGAAGAAAAAGAAATAAACATTGCTAAAGCTACCGTTCAGGGAGTCAGAGAAGAAGGGATTGCTCACAATATTCTGGCTCTTCAAGTAAGTTTCTGTTTCGGAAGACAATTCTGTACTACTGTATCATACTCGGTATGGCATTGTTGATTGCTTCTAAAGGAACCACAACCACATAATATAATTTTTGGCTGCAGGGTCTTGTCAAACCATTTGGAGCCTTGGTGCCTCGTTTCCAAGAGATTATCGCATGGGAAAGGCCAGGAACCACTTCCATGGTTCTTGTGATAACCCTTCTAATAATATACAGGCCAGTCTTATAATTAAGTTCTGATCCCTTTTTATTTACTTCTAGAGTATAACTATAAGCTGTAAGTAAAATTAGCAATTTGGAAATGAAATGTAGGGAGTGGGTTGGCAAGGCAATGGCAGCATTTATACTATGGGTAGTTGCTACAATGCTGAGGGCCAGACAGCTAGGGATAGCCAATAAGCACAACAAGATATTTATTTACATCGGATCAAATAAAACTGCAGTGGAGAACATAGTGTCTGCCCAACAGGGTTTGAGAACTGCATATGACACCATTCAACAAATCAATGTGGCAATTCTCAAACTTCAGTCATTGTTTGTTTCTAAAGCTCCAAAGGTAATTACACCAGCTCCGTTTTTACATATCTGTTTACTTTACATTCGAAACCATCAGTTGGTTTCTATATTTGATATATATATATATATATATATATATATATATATATGGATTGACTCCAGTGAGATGACACTTTACAGTGAGATGACATGCTTCAGTCAGATGACGCAAAGCTCACCACACTACACTACAAAGCTCACCAATGGACAATGCAAAGCATACCTTGAAATAAAGCAAAGCTCACTACTTTGAACCCCAAAACTCACCTTTTTTTAAATTTTAAAAATTAAAAAATTAATTAAAAATAAAATAACAACACTGGTCAATAGCGGCGGAGCAGCGGCGGCGGCGGTTGCCGGAGTCCGCCGACGGCGCCGGCGCCGGCGGCCGGCGGCGGTCAATGCTGTCGGTCAACAGTCAAAGTCAAAGTCCAGTCAGCTCCCCTTCCTTTGATTTTATTTTTTGAAAAAAATCAAAGTGTTGAAAAAATATGGTGAGCTTTGCCTTACAGTTTGGTGAGTTTTGTAGTTGTCTTAGGTGAGCTTTGTAGTGGCCAGTGGTGAGCTTTGCGTCATCTGACCGAATCATGTCATTTCACCGTAAGGTGTCATCTCACTGGAGTCATTACACAACTACACTTACACAAAAAATTGTATCCCAAAGTTACACCAAAAGTAAACCACTAACTTTTTTATTGTTCACACTGACACAAAATACTGATGCGTTAATAAAAATTTATACTAACATTTTGTGTTTATGTAAACTATCATCCTAGCATTATACTGGCATAAAATTAAGGTGTAAACCTAATCTTGGGGTACACATTGCTTAATCCAAAAAGAAATTAAAGGCTAATAATAAACGAGTACGTGTTGTCAAACCGGCCGTATTCTAATGTTCTTTTTCAAATCCTTAATTGCAGCACTCGAGTATGGTAATGGCAGGGATGATTGGTGTCGCAGCTGTGCTAGCTATGGTTCCATTCAAATTTATCCTAATGGGACTTGTATTATCTATCTTCATATCATATTCAGAGGTCGGGAAAAGCAAGCAAAACGACTGCGGAAACCGGCGGCTCAAGGAATGGTGGGATTCCATACCGGTTGCTGCTGTTGAACTCGTGGATGAGACGGCTGCCGATAGTGTAGCTACTATAAAAGCAAACGTGTGATTATATATATATATATATATATATGTATGTATGTATGTATGTATATGTATATGTATATATATATATAAGAAAATCCCCCAAATAAGAGTAAAACATACTCCCTCCGTTCCCAATTTGATTACAAATTGCGGGTTACGGAGTAAAATTTCCTACTTTTTGAAATCATTTTATTTACAAATTGGTATATCAATAAGATATAAAAATTACATATTAAAAAACTACGTGAAAAGTTCTACAAAACAAGAGGTGACAAGAATATTTTATTTTATCAAATACTTAATGAAATCGCGTAAACAAACAAAAGTTATCGAGAGGAGAGAGAAAAAAAATTGTAATCCATTTAGGGACGGAGGGAGTATGTTATATCCTCAAAGTAGGAGTTCAAACATAAACTCTTCTAAATAGGAGTAATTAAATAAGAAAAAAACCTACCTATTCCAGCGCACTACTCAATCGGAAGAAATCTTCTTAGATCTTTATGATTTCATCCTCTCTAAACAATCTCTCTCTTCTATTTCAAGGAAAAAGAGAGTGGTGCTGATTTAATATTTTTGTTTCTAAATGAATCTCAGCTACAAAAGATTCATTTTTTTCTCAAATTCCATGCTAAGACAAACCTAGAATATAAGATGGGGATGGTAGGAATATTTTTTTGTACAGGCAGCACCTGAGACTAATCAAATGCAATGCTGGTGTGGTGGTTGTAGGTATACACAAACCTGGAGTCTCTGAGATGGTGTTCATTTATTTGACATTTTGAATTTGCAACAGTGACATTATATATGATAATCTGTGGCATCGTGCATTACCATATGTGACATTGTATGGTAATATGTGGCATTATGTATTGCCATATGTGACATTATATGTGGCCATGTTTGGAATTATACCTTCATTGTTGTCAATGTGGCACTGCGACGGAGACTGTGCATAGTGTGATGGTGGTGTCGATAATGGTGCAAAGTGTGATGGCGGTAGAGTGTGATGGTGATAGATCTCGTCGATCTCTAGCCTCACTTTGGATGTGAAGATCAAGCGGCTTGTTAGCTTGGTGGCCGCCATTCCCCGCCTCGACATCCTAGGTTTCGAGTAGGTTTCCGAAGCTCTCTGCAGGGGGTTGCAAACACTAGAAATGGGATTTCCTTCAACGAAAAAATCATAGCCGCCACCAGCTTCCCTCATTTCATTCTCTCATATGGCCATCCTCACCCTGAAAAAGTAGATATGCTAGGTCGCATATCTACGGCAATTGATAAAGTACGAGTGAAGTTCGCCCAAGCTAATCCCGTCATGGCGTGTAGCCGATATGACGCTGCTAGTGTTAACTACTATCGGACACGAAGAAATGCACAAAAAAAGGATGGCTACAGAGATTGCCAGGTCCTAGCATTTGGGGGATTTTCTTATATATATATATATATATATATATATATATATATATATATATATATATATATATATACACATATATATATATACATATATATATACATATATATATATATATATATATATATATATATATATATATATATATATATGAGACTCTTAACTCTAAGAGTTTGACATGTGGTTCTTTAAAAAAATGACAAGTGACTTTTTAAAAACTTGACATGTGGGATATCTATGTGACATTAGTTTTTGACAAATTCTCATTTGTTTAGGTAAGACAATCACAAAAAACAAAAAAAGATTCTTAGAAATTTATGAAAGGCAATGAATTACAAGTTAAGTAAATATCTAATACACTTAAATAAATCTTTAATATTTACTCGAAAAATTTCAATGTGAGTTTAATAATTTAATATACTACAATAAATACTTCACATTGGATTAAATTAAACTTTTATTTTAATTTTTTTTAAAATAAAATTATTAAACTTTTAATAAATTTTTTATATATAAAAACGACTCTTATCTTTAGAAAGTTGGCATATGTATTTATTTTGTGTCTAATTTAACCTAATTTAAATTAACAAATTAAAATATGAAATAAATATTCTAGGATGAAACATTTGAATAAATTTGAAATTTTAAATATGAAATCGAGACTTTTGTTTTTATAAAACATTCTTTCCTAATTCAGTATTTTTCTCTCTTTATTTATATCAAATCTTTTAATTGATTAATACATTACTCCTTTCACCTCGAAAAAAATTCATATGAGTATTTGTTTAGAATAAGTTAAAATAAAGTTAGTTTTGACTCTATTTATTTCAATAATGACAGAAAATTGAAAACAAAGAATATATTTTTAAAACTTCTTTAAAAAATTTAAAAAATAAGATATGATCGGGTTATAAGTCTTAAAGTAAAAAAAATAATGTATGCAATTTGGTAGTTTAAATATATTAATTTTATTATTTGAATTAATGACTAGAAAATTTATGATTTATACATTTTAGACTATTTATAGTTTAAAACATATGAAATAAATATTTTTGGATAAAATATTTGAGTAAGTTTAATTATAAAATAGAGATCTTTGTTTTTAATAATATTCTTTCATAATTGAACTATTTTTTCTCTCTTCATTTATAACAAAACTTTAAATTAATAAATATGTTACTATATTAACCTTTAAATTTTCATACGAGTATTTGTTTAGGATAAGTTAAAACAAAGTTAGTTTTTAATCTATTTATTCCAATATTGATATACATTTAAAAACAAACAATATATTTTTAAAACTACATAAACAAATTTAAGAAACAACACAAGATTGAGTTATAATAGTTTTAAAGTAGAAAAATACTATTCATAATATGTTTGTTTGAATATATTAATTTTATAATTTGATTTAATGACTAGAAAGGTTGTGATTTATATGTTTTAGACGATTTACAATTTAAATTTAAAAATATATTATTTTTAATTCTCTATTAGCAAGTGATACTTTAAGTAAATTATATAATAAAATTAATAAAAAAAAATGTGTCACCATAATATGCTATGTTTACACTAATATTCTTTATGATTTCAACATGGTTGAATAAATTTGAATTTGGAATATAAATCTTTCATTTATAATAAACTTTCAATGAATAAATAATATTTATTTCACTAAAACTCTCTTAAGCTCCGAATAAATTTATATCTATTTATGATATGATTATTAAATGACATTGGTTTTTTCATTTAATTATTTAAATATTTATGTAACAATAAATAATACTCCAGTATATTTTTAATCTATAGATTAATATTCTATAAAATAAAATATGCCTAGACTATTGTTTTAATTGATTAACTAGAAGAATTATATATATGTAGAAATTTAATAAACCTAGATCATTTATGTATATAAAATTTAAATGGTATATAACATAGAAAAATCAAGTTGTTTTAATATTTAATATTGTACAATCGAAAATAATTTTGTCTGACCCGTGCATGACACGAGTTAAAATACTAGTTTGTTTTGAATAACAGACATGTCACATAATGCATGTAATCAGTCCTATTTTTTCTTTCATGATTGACATTTTATTTTCATTGTAACTTTTATTTTTGGAATAAAGACATAGAACTCTTATTTTAGTATATTTTTTAATGTTTTACTCCTACTTTAGTCTTTTTCTCTAAACTATTTAAACTTTCAATTTTTTTATAAAAATTTGTAAAATGAAAAACAAAGTTATGTTTTTTTGAAATAAATAAAATGTGACGGGAAATATTATTTGGCCCAGACATCTCAATCTGAATTTTTCAATTAATATTATCATAATTATCATCACCAAACACTGGTTACAAATTACTCCTCCTACCATAACTATCCTCATAGTCAACTCATTTTCCTTAATCACATCCACCATTCACTCATTATCATAATTACTCCCACTATTCACTCCCTACCATATTTATCTCCATAGTTACTCCCTCATCTCTCACTATAAAATAAGCCCTTCACCTTGAGTATGTGGGGCGCCCAATTTCCGTATTTTCTCTTGCACTACCATGTAACTATACTCTCTCACATCACATAGAAAATACTCCTTGTATAATTTATTCTTTATAGAACTAAATTGCTCCATCAATTGCTATAATGCCAAGATTATGTACTATGTACTAACCCCTATGTTAATAAAATCTCTCTGTTGGCATCGTACCTCTGGAAAAGGCCATTGGGTTTCTTCCAATTTGAGTTTCCAAGTCAAAACTAGCTTGTTTATATTTTTGGTGTTCGGGGCGCTTTTTGGCTTTATATTTGTAGTAACTTAAAAAAGCGCCTGAGTAAAAAAGATTATGTGGCATCAATGCCAAAAACTTTTTAGTTTAAAATTAAAGCGCTTTTAATTGCTTTATGTGGCCTCAATGCCCCCATCACCCCCTTCAATTGCACTCCACAAAATAAAGCGCTTTTTCCGTTTCTTAAAACACTTACTTTTTTCATTTTTTTGTGTTTTCCCTAAAACATTTCTAATTTCTATTAAAAAGTAACTTTTGTCCTTATTTTTTGTTACCCTACCACCTATCGCATCATATTTTTTCACTAATAATCGACTCATCATATCAAGGATAAAATTAGAAAAATAACTACAAATATACAGTTCTCATTTCTTCTAAAAATCAATATAGAAAGCGTTTTATGAAACAGAAGGAGTAATTCACATGTTTTTTTCCTTTTAACTCTCCGTTTATCGACTTGATCCCTACCAACACTACCAACACTGAATGATAACAAAAATATGAAGCACGTCACCTGTTACGGGATTATTATTATTATTATTATTATTATTATTATTATTATTATTATTATTATTATTGTAGGTAAGGAATTATTTATAGTTAGTTAATTATTATTAGGGAATATTATATTTAATAGGTGATTAATTAGATTGCTAGTTTATTTAGTTTCCTTTTAAAGTTTGGAATTTCGTTTACCTTTAGAATTCTATTCTATATATTGAGACATTTGTACTTAAGAATGGGATTATCAATAAAGAAATTATCCTTTCTTAACCCTAAATGTTCTTCTCTCTTTCTCCTTGGGCTTTTGGCCGTTTCTCCCCCTCCCTCTTGACTGGTCTTCTTCATCTTCTTCTCTAGACTCTCCACCTTCTCTAATTTCTTAATCTTTTCCCTTCATCTCATACATTCTTGTATCATCACCACAACGAAAAAAACAAGGTGGGGCCAAGACATATTTTCTCCCCATATATGATCGAAAAGAAAATATGGCATGGAGAAGCCATGATATATATATATATATATATATATAGGCTTTAGTGAGAAAAGAGAATGAATTTGGTGCTTTAAATTGAACGATCTAAGGGTCAGGATTGCATCAAAATTAGGTGCAACAAAACGGTTTGAAAATGCATCACGTCGAAATGCATCATAATTTTTTAAAAATGCACTATCTCAAAATCTGAGCACAAGATGCAACGTGAGCCACACGATGCATCAGATCTAATGACTAGATTTCATTCTCATTTCTCTCCACAAGGTGCATTCTCACAGGAACCGGCACACACACACACACACACACACACATATATATATATATATATATATATACTACGGAGTAGTATTTAACCCGTGCAACGCACGGGGTCGAACGAATATTTTTTTTAGTTAATATTTTAAAAAGCGAGCAAAATATAATAACGAACTGTAAAATTTAATGAATGATATCCCATAAACATTTGCTAACCGAAATTTATCTATATATAAATAAAAAAGAAAATGCAAATGTATAATTTAAATCCAAAGTTTTTGGAAAACTTTGGGTATACCACTTTTTTGGTGAAGTTGTAAGGATAACCATTTTCATTTAAATCTAACATTTTCAATTTTGTACTCTCTCCGTCCCTCATAGATCTTCCCAATAGCCTTTTTTTTCCACAATAGATCTTCTCATTTCATTTTTTAACAATTAAAATACCACAACTACACCCACTTACTTTATTTATTACACCTCACTCACCTCATTTAATATACTCCACCCATTTTCATTAAGGGTATTATGGTAATCTTTCACCTTTTTTCAACTCTCCTTAAAAACCACCAAAAGTCAAAATGAGAACATCTTAGGGGGACGGAGGGAGTATTTGTTTTCGCTCAAGCTGTAACATAAAATTGACCGTGAGTGATGCTGATTTGGTAAAAACTAATCCTACAAATGATAATGTTTGACCTTGAATCTTATTGATAATCATGGCAAAACATAAAGATATACAGAATTGTCTTCTTTGAAACTTAAAAATCTTTTAAGAGATACTAAAAAAAAGTTGGTAAACTAAAATAGAAATAAAAAGAAAATGGTACGGTGATACCAAAGATTTGTTCATAAACCTAAAGAAAATGTTGTAAACTTATTTTACCCAAACATGTAATAATTTGTTCATTTTGGTTTGAAAACAAAAAAATATTGGATCGCTTTTTTTCTTTGTTCCTGAAAATTTTAAATATATATTCAATATAATTATTATTTACATTAGTTAATAAATGGTCGAAGATTTTAATTTTTCAGTGTAATATAATAACATACTTTATTTTTATCTTGCATACATTGTTTATATTATCTTACCCGTAAATTCTTTTATTTGAAGATTTTTTTTTTGTACTCTATATTGAAAGATGAGATAAAAGTGTATAAAATAATGGATTACGCATAATAGAACATGCAAGGTGTTTGGAATATCACTCGATCGAGTACATGAGCAAGTTTAAAAACTGTTCATAAATACAATATAAACCAAAAATGGTTAAATATATCCGTTATCAAAATATAATTAGGATGCAAAAAATAGTGTTGGTAAACTGGATGCGCTAGCTGTGTAGAATAGCCATAAAAAAGATTTCCATCCATAGGCATCCATCCTCAATCTGGTTCAAACTTCTCGGCACTCAACTCTAGCAAGTTGAAGCTATCCAGGAGTAAACATATAAAACAGCACCAACTAATAGGTTAGCTGGTTGCTCCATTTTTCAGCTACAATAGTGCTTAACAGCATCATTCACCTGCAGTGAAACACATAAAAATTGGATGTAGAAAACATAAAAAACCAACAGAATACATCAAGAAATCAGCATCAATGATTCAGAATTACTCAGTATATATATTGCCTAATATTAGAAGTAGAATTGATAAGACCAAAATTGTAAACAAATTGGTTATTTATAATTAAGTGTATAACCATAACTCCTGAATCAATGAATAAGAACTGACCATATATGTTGAATTGGAAAATAGAGGAGAAATGTCACTATTTTGTTTAAAATGTAGCACCATGAAGACATGAAGAAAAAGCAAATCCAGAGGAAAACTAATAGAAAAGGCATTTTAAACATACCGACCATGTAAAATGGCATAGCAATCCTTACATATCCACAATAAGTGCTTCATGTTGAGTGTTATAGGTGCAAAGTTAGAAATAGGTTTTTATTTGGAAAATGTGAAATTTTATTATGAATAGGAGAATAGAGAGTACAAACCAAAAGCGAACTCCCCATCTAAGAGGCTACGACCCTAGATATAGAACCTGATAATAATCTTTAATGTGGGTAGGTAGTCCATGTAATTACATGATTCACTCACTCATAACTACCAGCAAAAATACCTTTTCAAGTGATGTGCAGTCAAGACTTGAGAAGTAGTTCCTTTCTAGCCCACACGCCGGACGGAAGTAACAGTTGCTCTATTAGTCTAAATAACAGCCCTAACATAAGTAAGTGGGATCTGCATTAGCAAAGGATTATGAATGGTAGACACATTGATTTTCCATGTTAACCCGCAAACCATATAACCCATTTGAAAACGTGATGACAACGCTACAAAACAGAAAAGTGTGGAAACTGTTTTAAAAACTTTTGATTTTTTCGATTAAATTAGAAAAGCAAAAGTACAAAAAAGCCAACCACTTTTTGTCAAATCTAAAATAGGGTTATAAATGAGTGTTTATACGAAGAGCTTTAAAATTATACTCCTTATGCCTTATAAAATAGTATGATTCAAAAAATATCAAGTTACCAAAAGTAAATATTTTGGAGTACTTGGTATGACCTAAAAAAGTAAATAATAGATGAGAAAAAAAATGCATAAACGTGCTGTACACCTTATATATGAGTGTGAGGATAAGATGTAGGCTAGAAAAACACATTATGCATTATAAAATGGGTCTGACCTCGTTGAAGATTCACACCGCCATACTGGAGATATTTTTAGATGTAACGGTGAAGGAGGTGGGGTTTTGGCTTGGAATACTGACCTAGCCACCACCAAGTAAAATCAATTTTGCTCCATTCTCTTTGTTTCACAATAGAGATACTCCCTGCCTTATTTTCCAAGGTCAAGGAAATTAGCAACGCTTATGCCCCAGAGGTAACTCGCTGGGAAGCTGAAGCTCTAGTTGTATCAAAGAAATTAGAAATGCTTATGCACACTATGTATCCAATGCTACTCCTTGAATTGAGATAATATCCATGCAGAATTTAAAGATTTTGATACAAAGCCAAGGGAAACAACTTTTCATATCAAAGTGGCTTGTAGCCATCTCAATCCTTGCATCGAGATAAGATGTAGCCAATTAAAGTCTAGTCCAAGAAATGTTATGTGCACAATTACTATAATAGGGTTATGGGTCACAGCTAATGATTCTTGAACTCAATTAGGTTGGGGGAAGGTTATATGAATGTATGTCATTATGAAGTAGTTGTTTGTTTCTACTGATTTCGCCATTTGGTCACATTCATAAACCTCACCCAGCTATTGCTACTCTTTTTATTAGGTGTTTATAACACATACTCCACATTACTCTAAAAGTTCATCAAAAACAGAAACATGCCAGGTATAACAAATACACCCTTCAAAATGATTTATTTGTAAGAAAAAATGTGTACCTTGCCATGATACTGGAAAAGTTTTTGTCTCTAGCTTCTCCTTGTGCATTCTCTTTTCAACACATTTTTCTGCCTGTGAGACGCATTGGCCATCTTTTGTTTGTTATTAAAAAGTGTCAAGATATATGTAAAATTAAACATTCATTCATCTGAATAATTTTAAAAACAGTTATCATTATTGAAAGCCATTACCAATAGGCGTTATTACTGAATGAAACTATGAGTGTTTTCATCTGAATAATTTTAAAAACAGTTATCATTATTGAAAGCCATTACCAATAGGCGTTATTACTGAATGAAACTATGAGTTTTTAAATCAATGCAGGAACAATATCATCCTCCTCACATAAAGTAAAAAAATAAATTGTCTTATTAAGATCGCATTCTCACCAGAACATATATATATATATATATATATATATATATATATATAGAAAGGATAATTTTTTATTAAGAAAAAAGGAAAAAGAGAAGGAAAAAAGTACACGGAGGGGAGGACTAGACGAAAGCCCCTCTGAAACTGCATGAAATAAAGGAAAACTGAAAGGGAAAGAAACATGAGTGAAAAAGTGATCACTCCCAGATTATAAAGCCGGGATGCTGATCAAGGGAAAGGTTTCTAGGCATTACTTTCTTTGGTCTCTTCCCATCAGTTCCAATAGGACCGACGGGACCGACATACCAAAAGGGCCTGGAGTAACTTTCGGTAGTGATAATTTTTTCCAAAGTTGTTGATTTTCGGCTAGGCCAGTATCTGGTGATCTCACTAACCGTCCCGACTTCGAGGTTTGGGTCGTAGCTTCTAGTTTTGATTGTTCTTGGTGCATTTGGCCTCTTGCCTGCTTTTTTGGTACGTCTATTTTGGACATCTTGAAAGTCATTGGTTTCCTCCCTTTGATGTGATGTCTCCCCTTCTTCAATGTAGGACCTAATTTCATATTGTTGTCCGTCGATCTCAAAGGACTGAAGGACCGGTCCTATTGTTGATGGGTTGATACCTGCATCGTTAGTCAACAGAGGAGGAGAGTTTTTTTTCCAAAGGATCAGAAGGTATCTCATCATTTCCTGCAGATGAAAGACTTAGTGTGCCTTCCATCTCTTTCTCATGTGAAAGAGTGTGTGCACCACTAGTAGCTTCCAACAGTTCTTTTGTGAGGACTGGAAATTCAATTAGGTTGATTTGAGAAGGACCAGGATTGTACTCTTCATTAATATCAGTGTCAACAGTCTGTGTGCCTTCCAATGCTGCCTCAGAAGACAGATTGTGTGCACCGCGACTGAGTTCATTATTATAAAGTAAAGGAGATTTGGGTTCCAGTATAAGGGTATCATCTTGGACATTGGTAGGAGACACCAATATTACCTCACTATTACCACAAGCTGCTGGACAATTGATAGTAGGAATTACTTCACAAACATCAGAAGCTATCTTAGCGTTGTGATAGGCTGCAGTACAACTCTTAGAAAGAATTGCATCAGAATCTTTCTCATTAAAATCTGTGTCTTCACAAACAATAGGGTCTGAATCAGACCTTAGGCTGGTTTCTGGGAAGCTGTCAGGGGGGGTTATTTCAAAAGCAGCAGAAATTGAAGGCGGCTCAAGAGCTATAGAGTCCTTCACATTAGCTAGGGCTAAATTAGTTGCCATGGCCTCAACTCTTGGAGGAGCAGCCCCATTAGACTTTGAGTCTGTTTCTTCAGCAGCGGAAGCAGACCCGGTTGCATCCTCATCACGTGCGCCTCCCTGGTTGGTTTGCAAAACAACCTCTTTTGTTGTTTGGGTCACTCCAGGCTTGGAAACAGCTACAGCAATTGTTGTATTCCCAGTTCTAGTACTCCTTTCATTTTTAACCCATCTAGAGGTCTCATTCTTTCTCTTACAGTTTTTGTGGCCAAAACATTTGCAAGAGGGGCAATAGTCTGGAAGATCTTCATAGGTTACTGGTTGTAGGAAAGTGAGTTCTCTCAGGTGAATCCAAACACAGCGAGGCAGTTCTTTGCTGGTATCTATCTCAACACAGATTCGGGCAATAGAGGGCCTCGAAAGAGTTGCAGTTGCTGAATCAGTTTTTAGAGGTTTACCAAGCAAATTCCCAATTGAATATAAAGCAAGAGAATCAAATAGATGAATAGGCAAGCCTTCAAGGCCTACCCAAACTGGGATTAGTGGGGAATCGGCGTTAGGGTCGAAATCATGAGTCCATCGGAAAACTTTCAAAGTGAACCCATTTATCTTCCAGTATTTTCGCAACAAGCATCTCAGGAAATCCTTTTCAGATTCGAAATTGATCAAAATATGGCAATCATCCAATAGACTTACAGAGAAATTGCTTTCAAAGGCAATCCGTTCAAAAGCCTTTCTGGTTGAGATAAGGCTTGGTCTCCCTTTGATGAAGCGCCCAACAATTGTTCGAGAGAATCTGGCTGAGAGCGCACTCACATCCGCGTCTGTGAAGGAGATGGCTGGTTGGCCTTTAAATTTGCACGCTGGTTTGTAGTCTCCTGCTTCTGCAATTTCGCTGAAAGTGCGTTGTGGAAGGGGGCTGGACATTGTTGGATGATGGTCGCCGGACCGCCATGGCGGTCGGCGGAGACCTAGCCGCAGAGATCAGATCTTGAGTGAGAAGTCATTATGACACACACAGATATATATAAAATCTTACATCTTACATATCTTATAAATGGCTACCATGGTTAGGTACCCTCAAATAAAATGTAGTTTTGCCTTTAAAAAAATGATACTCATAGCTTAATTTGTTGTACGCCGATTTCTTATTCTTAGGCCCCATTTGACATAAGCTTTAGAGATTAGCGTTAGTGTTTTGAAAAGGCTATCCGACGGTAGCCTTTAGTGTTAGCGTTTTCCGAATTAATTTACACCCATTAATGTTTTATCCAAAATGCTAACGCTAATTGAAAACGCTCTTCCCAAACAAGGCCTTCAACTACCTTACGACGTTAGTTAGTTGTAGTCCAAGCATCTGCAAATCTCCATCCAAATATAGTCCCACTTCTAATTTACCCAGTTGTGTCTTCATCCCCTACTTGCAGATTTCCCGGCGACGCATCAGCAACCCACCATACTTCGAAGTAAGAAGCTGGTACGTTTCGAATTATTTTTATGATTCTCTGACCCCTTTTAGGATCACGGCCTTAATCGTGGATCTGTACACCATCTTTTGTTCCCTACTAATTTATAGCGAAACATGGATTTCCCGCCGAAGCAGCAGCAACCCACCACACTCAATCTTAATAACAAGGAAATTATATCAAATGTGCAAATTTCATGGTACGATTCATAGGATTTTTCTAATTTTGTGTCTTCTATTTTTAGATCCGTAGCTTAAGTATTGTTAAACAATAAATTCTAGATGCAGGATTCTTTATCAAGGAATTTCCAAATCGGACACATTTTTAGGTGTGGTTCATGATACATCTTTGGTATTTAATTTCTTTCTTTTGTTTCACTTCTCATGGTTCAAGCTATTCCTCTATTGCATTATTTTGCCATTTTTTCAATATTGGAGATGTGATGATGAAGATAAGTCCTTTCAAAACTCAAAGTAGAGTTCTCTAATGGCTATAGGATTATGTCTTTTAAATTTATTTGGTTTCTCTTATCTTGTGTAGGACATATTTCTTTTAGGTCTAATGTCATGCAGAAACCATCATCTCTAATGTATCTAAGAGAGATGAATTGGAAGAAAATGATTTTGAATGGATAGACCTCAGCTGGGTAGTGTTCGCTGTGATTGAACAATTGGTAAGGACTTTTAATTTTTTGCTATGGCTTTTGGATTATAAATGGAGTATGACGCTGATGGGAAGAAATAAATGTTGCTGTTGTGTTTTCTTTTTATACAGCTCCATCAAATTTTTGTGACTTTTGTATCTTAGGTCAAAATCCTAATCTGTTTAGCGGAGGCATTGAGTGTGGCATCACCCTTTGGGTTTATTGTCATTTCTAGATCAAACTAATGGCATTGGCATTAATATGACCTTTAGATAGCTAAGTAACATGATCTATTTGAATCAACTTCAGTTTATTAACCAAGGTTCATCAAATAATGTTATTTCATTGCCAGAGCTTCTACATCTTGTTGAAAGTGTTGTCTGGCTTTTTAGTGCTTCATTCACAAGTGATGTGTCGTGGTATGTAAAACACTAAAACAAGGACTTATTTTACTGCTTATTCAACATTTTATATTTTTCTATATGTTTGTATCTAATGTTAGGTTGGCTTCTTCTAGAATGAAATTTCATCTCCCTCGTGGTGTCTATGACTCTGTACCACTGATTTTACGTATACTAAAGAGAATTCACTATATGTGTATAGGTCTCTCGCCTACTATGGAAGTCCACCTCATCTTCACGTCAAGGTTGCTTTTCACAGTTCAGAAAGGTGGAGTTCAAGCCCAGATAAAAGGACATCAGTCCCTTACCCAAATTTTCCTAACTTAATGGTTATGTAAGTGCTTTAATCTCTTTTTAAGTTTTACCAAATTGAAAGGTTCTTTGATTCTGACTTCTACTTTCAGAATATAGTGGTAAGAAGAACTAATGCATTTATCATACTCAACCTATTACAACAGGTACCCTCATTGTCTTGAGGTTATATCTTTTGGGAAAGGCCGCAAGATATTTGATATACGTTGCGATCATCCTAATTTGTTTCTCATGAAAAGAAAGAGAGGCCTTCGAGTTGTGATCACTTCAGCAAATTTGGTACTTGGGCGGGGTTGATTATGAGCTTCCATTGTTCATTATAACTTTTGCAGACTCCAGGATATATTTTAATTGAAGCCACCATTAATTATGAATCTTATCATCCACCAAGTTCTAGAACATGAAGAAAGGATTTGACAAAAGCATCTCAAGGCTCTGCCATTGAAAGGCCAAGTTTTGCATTAATGACCAGAATAATGGAAATTTTCCATTATAGTGTTTGGTTATGGTTATGTTACTTTTTATTAAGTACGTATAGGTATGACATTTCTAAGAGCACTGGAAATACTCGTGAAGCCCGAGGATTTCAAACCAGGACATCAAATTTTTTTTCTCTGCCACATCAGCTTTAACTTACCTCACAGATTCAGTGGAAATGGGTTTGAAGCCCCGGGGCTTCAAACAGGGGCTTCAAACCTTCATTTTTTACATTTTTAAATATACATCTAAATTTAAATATAAAATTTTAATTAATTTATTATTTAAATTAATCAAAAGGAGACTAGTGCATTAAAAATATTACATTCATAAAAGAATACATTCATAAAAAAAAGTAACATTCATTTAAAAACAACACTACAAAGAAATTACTAATTATTCGAGCGATTAAAAATATCTTCATTCAAATCCGAGTTGTAGTAACATATTGCAAACTGAAATAAATCATTAAATAAAAATACAGTCAATAAAAAAAGTATTTTAAATTAAAAAAAAACAAAAAAAATTACATTACTAAAAGAAATTTAAACAAAGAAATATTACATTAAAAAACAAAATATAGAGTAAAAAATTATGTTTGTGTATGTTTTTTTTAAAGAGAGAGTGGGGAGAGATTTGAAGCCCGTTAAAGCTTTGAACCACAAGGAATGAAGCCCGTATGAAGCCCCAAGGGGGCGGTGTTTGCTGCCCCTTTGGCGTTAAAAAGGACAATAACGCCCCAGGCGTTATGCCCATTACCAGTGCTCTAAGGCCCTTTGGTGCCTCAAATCCCTCAATTGATGGTGTTCGTACGTTGATTTTCATATTTTTAGAGGTTTTGGGGGATTTAATCCATGTTTTAGTTATACTTTTGCATCTATTGAGGGGCATTGGTTTGGTCCTCCCCTCATGTACTTTACTTTATTTAATAAAAATTGCTTATTTAAATATATATTACTTTCTTTCTTTTAGTAAAATTTTCTTTCACACACACACAGATATATATATATATATATATATATATATATATATATATATATATATATATATATATATGTATATATATAACTCGATCATAAAAAAATATAATTTTTGAATGACTTCTATTATTTTTTTATATATGACGGGATCTTTCGTCACGAAAAGAGTATTTTAATGATCGTAAAATTACTCTCATTATTAAACGCTTTTTAATGAGAGGATTTGAAGCCTATCATTATATGTAATTAACTACGAAAGTTTTAGTGACGGGTGATGAAATAAATATCCTCTCATTAAAAAGTTTAGTGAGAATTTTCTTGACATTAACTACGGTTCTACTCATTTTAAATAGTATTTTTCTTGTAGTGTTGGTTTCATTTCAATATCATTTTGAGTTTTATTGTATTTTTGTTTCGTCCGATTTTATTGGACCCAAAAAGTTGCACATTGTTAAAATATCTAATATTCTAACTCTAAACATTATTCTTCCAAAAAGAAAGTTTATAAAGTTTCAAATTAAATGCTCAATGATGCTAATAAAAAGTAAAAATAATCTATACGTTAAAAAATATGGTTAAAATAATAAATTTTAAATTCAAAAGAAAAAACTAAAGTAAGAATAAAAGAATGGAAACAAAGAGTTGTTTTTATGGTCACAAACTATAAGCATTAATAATTGGTTGAATCTTTGGATACACGTGAAAAAAGTCAAAGAAACCAATAATTGAATTGAGAAAAGCTTCTCATATTGGAGTTTTGTCATCATTTTGTCCTGAAAATTACACAGTACATTACTATAAAAACCTCAAAAACCTCTCTACTTTTTTGGTTGGGGTAAGGTTTGCACTTACTAAGCCCTGTCCAACCCCATTCAGTTATATATTATTATTACTACTATAAAAATATGTTATCCTTCATTCTCGTGAGATTAGAAGAAAAATGGATATATATCTAAAAACTTCTCTCACTTACTGTTATTTCTATTGCTTTTTTCATCTTGAGTTATAGTCTCACTTACTATTTGTAGCTTACATTTTTAAATTACTTAACCTAGTATTTACACATACACTTATATATAACTCATATATTTTGAATGCAAAACAAATATATAGCTATTGTAGTGGTAATGAGATAAATAATAATTTGTAAATGTAGTTCTGCTTTATTGCGAATTCTCAAATAAGTTTTTTTGTGCCTGTAACTACTCTTAAAATGAATGTTGACTTTGCATAACTTGAGCTGAGGAAATAATATAAGCTACATGGTAAAAAAATTTATGAATTTTAATACTCTATGAATTTTAATACCTAAAGAATCTGTAGGTATTCAAAAATTTATGAATTTTAATACTCTATGGATTTTCATTGATTTCCTCCCAAAAGTATAAATAGATTTTACTCTTCAAAATCTTTTCTAACAACCCGAGATTTCCAAAAATCCGTCCAACACTCTGCACTTTGAAAATGAAAGGTTAGAAGAAAAAACCTTTGGTCTTTTAATTTGTTGGCAATTCACATCGTCCCTTTCCCCTCCCCCTCAGGCACTCTGTCATTTCTTCTTCACCACTTTCTTTCTTGATCGAGTTCTCGGACCTCTATAATATACTACGTATAATTTTCCGGTAATAAAAAATGGCCATCAGAAAACCGAGCAAGTTGTCGCTGCAGACGGCAGCGATCGAGTAGATTCTCAAGAGGTGTTCGAGCATGGGGATGAAGACCGCCAGGTACAACGGGGACAAAATGTCGCCGCCGATTGACGTCCCAAAGGGTCATTTCGTGGTGTACGTCGGGGAGAAGAGGGTCCGGCACTTCGTTCTGATCTCCTTTTTCAGCCGGCCAGAGTTCTAGTGCTTCATCCGGGCGTCGAGTAGAGTTCAGGTTCGATCACGACATGGGAATCACTCTCCCCTACGAGGAACTCGCTTTTCGGCCAGAGTTCCAATGCTTCATCAGTGCTTCTGTTTTTTTATGCTCTTTTGTTTTGGATTTTACAAATTCATTGAAAAAATATTGATATACCTCTTTATTGCATTTCTCTGTTTATTTCCCTATTTTGGTAATACTGAAGAATACCCACCATACTTGTAGAACAAAGGTAAAAAGACCAAGAATATTATAAGATTTAATTATCACTAACTACCAACACCATGGAGCCCTTTGCTATTGAGAAGTCCACTACTCGTTCCTCATCTTCTCTCAAATGCAGATCTCCCTCTATATTGTTTTGGAACTACTCCCTCCGTCCCCCTGTATTTGTCCACTTTCATTTTTGCACACCATCCAATGCACTTCTTTAATCCATTTTATCTTGTAATTTGTATATTAAAAAATTATAAAAATTATATATTAATAATCTATATGTTAAGACAAATCAAACAAGATCACACATGACTATATTTAGGCTTACACATTAAGAGAATTTGATGAGTCAAAGTGCTTAGATGAACAGTTCCAAAAGTCAAATGTGGACAAATACAGGGGGACGGAGGGAGTAATAGTTAAGATGATGCATGATTAATAATGTACTTATTTTTTTAAGAGTAATTTTTTTTGTATTTTTTCTAAGCAATTTGGATAACTTTTTTTATATACAAGTGTATTTCATACATACTTGCATCGATAGTTCTAGCATTAAAATCTATGGAAGTCCTATCAAGTATATGAAAATCCATGTAAATCAATAAAAAAAAAGTCAGCTAAACTCCATGTGGAGTTTCAGGATTTTCTAATCCACGGACTTTTTAACATCCAAAAAAATCTAATAGAATCCCAATTAAATACACTCTCCTTAGTTCTTTTGCATGTAAGAAATAGTAAATAGTGTATGATGCATGAGTTATGAGCTTATATTTTCTACTCCTTCCATTCCTTTAAACTCTTCCTATTTTGATTTTGGGCCAAAATAAAGAAAAGATAATTTTGGTTGACTTTCCAATTTTGACTTTGATGTGATGGGTAAAAGTAAGATATGATAGTTTGGTTATTAGTGAAAAAGTATAATGTGATAGGTAGGGTATGAAAAAGTAAGGGTAAAAGTGGTTTTTTAATAAAAAGTGGAAGTGTTTTAAGGAATTGGAAAAAAACAAAAGAGGAAGGATTTTATGGAACGGAAAGAGTATTATCTAAGATTTGTTGATAAATGGCTATTATGTTTCTTATAACTTTAAGTGTTGTCAATATTAGGCAATTTTTGGAAATAGTTTGGGCAGTTTAAGGTTGAACTCTACACCAACTACGGAGAGTGAAACTGAGCAAAACTTTAAGCATGTTTGTGCAAAGTTTTTGTAGCCCAAGGAAGTATTTTGCGCAAATTTTGAGTCTAAAACTCCGTAGCACATCAAGCAGAATTCTAAGCAGTTTTTGGGATTGGTTTGACATTTCTTATAGGAAAAGAGGTGGGGATATAAAGTAAGCCTAGCTTGCTTCTACTCATACTAATGTGTGATGTACTGTTGGATTCCGCTAACCTCTGCTAACCTACTTCAAGAATTGGTTGATAATTTTTACATTTACTTTCCCATGTCTGTTTATAATTTTTCCTATTTAAGCAATAAAAATAACTTAATAACTAAATATTTGAACTTTTTATCACAATTACAAATGAGCACATAGTATTTTAATGGTATCCTTTTAAACACATGTTATGTCTCTTTTTAATGAATTTAAATTCTATAACATTATCGGAGACTAATGACTATAGATCTAAATTATAAACATAAACTCACTCAAACAAAATAAAACTGCTAAAAATCTAAAATGGAGATCACAAAAATTACAATAAACTAAAATTATATCGGGCACTAAAATCCATGCATCGCGCGGAGAAATGCTAGTGTGTGTGTGTGTGTATATATATATATATATATATAATTTTAATGAGAGAGTTTATTAAAAAGAAAAGGAGTACAAAAGGTGGGGGTGGCCTACCCCAACAAAATGGCCCAAGCAAGAAAAGAAACATTACAAAACAGACCCTCCAATACACCACGAGACCATGAGAAAAATACACTACTGTTGGCCATGTGTGCAGCA